CGGACAGACTGAAAACATCAAGCCTCTTGGCCCTGGCGAGCTGTCTCTTGTGCCCTATGCTGAGCCCACGTGGCTCACACCTGGATACTTCAGCCCTTACTATAGTGATAACCACCGCAAATTCCACAAGGCTATGAGGGCATTCTTGATGGAGTTCGTACAACCTGAGGCAGTTAGATGCGAGGAAAATGGGAAGAAGATATCGCAAGAAGTCGTGGATAAATTAAGGCAAACTCCCCTGCGTGAAGCTTGCGTAACTCGGTTGACAATAATACCACAGCGAGATAAATTTCCTGGCTATGCGCCTAGGACCAGGCAAGCACCTCAAGGGACTTACATTGATGGGTGGCATCGTGAAGCCTGAAGAATACGACTACTTCCATGAAGTAAACATGCTCTTCACAAAGCATCCCTCTTTACTTACTCACATGACTTTATAGCTCATTCTTAACACTGAGATTGCGCGGTTTGGCACACGAGCATTCGTGGACGGCCTCCTGAATGGCGGGTTATTGCCCTCCCTCCCATTATTAATTTCGGAACTCCGGAACAACGAGCCAAGTTTGTACCCGACATTCTGGCTGGCAAGAAGTACATCTCCCTTGCTATATCAGAAGCGTTTGCAGGCAGCGACGTCAACGGCGCGCAAACTGTTGCAGTGAGAGACGGTGACGAGTGGGTTGTCACTGGAACTAAGAAGTACGCATGCATGGTTCGAGCTACTTCATCAGAACGGATTACTCATGGACATTGCAGGTGGATAACAAATGGGACCTTTTCGGATTACTTCACGACACTATGTAAAACAGACGTATGTTTACTTTTTTGTTGATCCCTTCTGAGTTCTCATCATCATTGCAGGCCGGATTCGTTGTTTTGCTCGTTGAGCGCTCGGATGCTGTATCCACTAAACCGGTGAAAACGTCATACTCCTCAACTGCTGGAACTGCATTTGTCACATTTGACAAGGCACGGGTGCCGGTTTCGAATACCTTGGGTCAAGTCGGGAAAGGCATATCGATTATTTTTAGCAACTTCAATCATGAGCGGTGGATGGTCACAGCCTCGAGTCTTGGTGCGCAAAGACTTGTGGTTGAAGAGTGTTTGAAGTAAGCGCGCATTGCAAGCCATTCTTCAAGTCTTCCTGACGTTGGTGCAATGCTTCAGGTGGACGAATCAACGAATTGCCTTTGGAAAACCTCTCCATGCTCAGGCAGTTATCCGCGCAAAACTCGCGGCAATGATTTCTCGTGTGGAAGCCAGCCAAGCATGGGTAGAGAACGTCACACATCAAATGAACAATGTTAGTCTCCAGATTCTCTGAGTGTTATTGCCCTAAAGTAGAAAATTTAGATGTCCTATGATGAACAATCTGACAAACTCGCTGGGCCTATTGGATTGCTCAAACAGTATGCGATGTCCGCTTTCGTCGTTCCGGTGCTAAACTGATGGACTGTGATGTAGATTTGTGTCAAAGGCTGGTCGTGAAACCGCCGAGGACGCGACTCAGATTTTCGGTGGTCGGGGTATCACCGTTACGGGTATGGGCAAGATCATTGAGAATGTACGTCTGGACTTTTGCTCTTCCTCGGCGATGTGATGCTAACGGATGTTATGTCAAGTACCATCGCACGTCACCTTTTGATGCCATTCTTGCGGGTGCAGAAGATGTGTTGGGGGATCTTGGTGTGCGGCAGGCTATTAAGAGGATGCCTAAGAATGCCCGGCTGTGACGTACTGGGCGCTGAGTTTAATTACTACTTTTGTTCATGGGGTCTTAGATTGAAGTCTTATAGTCGTGCCGGTTGCGTACCACAGGGGTTTTGGACATGCCCTCATTTAGTCAGGCGTGTTATGTCGGCAAGATCTGTGAATAGAAGAAGTTCGCATACTTTGTACATTGCACAGCACCTGTACAGATCCACTAAATGAAAGACATTTGCGAGCACCGATCCAGTAAGAAAATGATACAGCAGCGTTCCCAGTCAATGTTGTGTTCCGCTTCTCAAAAACACACTCAATCCTAATCCTATAGCACCAGAAACCAAAGACCATGCTCCGCTTCCTCCTGCGCTTAGTCCTGATGCAGCATTTAAAGTTATGGGCATGAATGTGGACGAATTCACCATAACTTTGGCAGAGGTGGTTTGTCGCCGGGAATCCTGAGGCATGCAAGGGCCTGGAGGCAACTCAAAGGTTGCCGCAAATGTCCCCGTAATGGACGGATTCAACACAAAGGTCCCCGTGATGGACGGAGGTGACGATATGGTTTTAGTTATCGACTCGGACGGAGGGTGGCGGCATGTACATATTTGTCGGCTTGGACGGAGGTGCCCACTCTGACATAGTTGACCACCCGGTACCATAAATGCTAGAAGTGTCATCACGGGAATGAGTTGAGGGAGTGCGGAACGGGTTTTGAGGAAAATTGGGCTTTCCGATTTTATCGTCCCAAGACATGTCATGCCAGAAATCTGGTAGATGTATTGATTAGGCGATTGACCCATACGTGCTTTACTTATGTGAAGCTGGGCTTACCTTTCATAGCTTGTTCCCGTAGGCGGTTGTAGTAGCTTGTTTCAAAGGACTGGTCGCCAGTCATAGCACATCGCTGGACGAAAGTTAGCCTATCAGCAAGGACAGAGTCGGGGATGCGAGCTTACCAGAGTATACTAGTCCCAATAGCTCAAACATTGAGGAGTTGGAAGAGATAAAACAAGGGTAGCAGCTGCTGATAAGAGCACTGCGAGGCAAGCACGCATTGTTAATTTTCGTTTATAAGGTCGTATCACGAAGATCGAGAAGGCTCGTTGGGAGAGGGAAAGGAACACATTGGCCCAGGAGCACAGTATAAGTGCAAAGATGCCAGCGTTAATTTGCAATCATGGTGATCTTGTGTCATACGCCGGTTCATGCTCCCGACATTCTAATTTGCTGGCAGACATGAATCTATTACAATTGATGTCATAGCTACCCCGAGTTGTGTCTGCGGCTCCCACGTGGGCAGAACTATTTTGTAGGTGCCAACGCCGATGTAGGCTCCGAAACTGATCCAAGTGTCAACATTAATGTCACGGACTCAGGTGCTGATATAGACCTCCGGTGCAGACACAGACGGAGGTGAAGTACCGACAACGGTAAAAGTTCTGGCTCGGGAGGGTGGGGTGCGGGACGGGTTTTGACCAGGAAAGGTGGGCTCTTGGAGTGAATAGCCATAATCGTAGCGGGTGCAATATGCGGTCATAGGATATCCTGATCACTCGAGCTAGTATATCAACATAGACGAGGTCAGGATTTCAAGCTTACAGCGTTCAATTCGTTTTGGACAGGGTCGCAGGTTGAGGTGCCCTGTAAAGAAACGGAGATCTCTTGTCTTCTGTATGAGGGACTCAGCAACGTCTGGAGAGACTGAGTCAGGTTGGACGAGATGAGACAGAGATAGCAGCCGCTGATAAGATTACGAGGCAGATTGTAGAGGCATGCATCATTGGCTGTTGTTACAAGATCGTATCACGAAGACCCAGAAGAGCTCCGTGGAGGGAAGACCATATGCCCCCAGGAGCACAGTACATAGATGCCAGCAGGCGAACTCCAGTGAACAGTCGAAGGGGCCGACGAGAGCTCCAGCAAGTCTCAGCCATATCGGCTCGCGTGGCTTGGAGGGTCCGAATTCGAATTGAACCCAAAAAAAAACCAGTGAAAGCAAAACCGACAACGAAAGTATTGAAGTATCGGGCGACAAGGTCAGTTTGTCGGCATTGCAAGAAAGCATAGACGAGAGGCTGCGTGTAGAAGAGCCAATGGCAAGTAAAAGCACACAAACCCGCGGCCATCACCAACCTGGAGGCACTTGACGACGTGTGCTCGGGGGGCACGCACCACAAAAATAATTCAAGTCAAAAATTTCAGTTCAACAAAAATGCGAAACATACCGTAGGTGTTGAAGGCTTCCTCTTGACTGGAGTGCTCAAGCATCTCATGGAGCTGTTAACCCACTATCTTTGTGATGTGCTGAAAATAATTAGATGAACTTGAAGGTTTGATCAAACGACGGAGCTGCACACGAAATCCGACATTATCTAACGACAAGTAACACATCAGCAGAAGTCACTTAAAGTCAAGAGGTGCGACGGACACACCATTCATTTGCTTACTGGCATAAGCAAATACCCTGTTTTCAGCCACTTTGGCGTTGCGTGACTCGTGGCCTGGACTTCTGCCTATTATACTCGGCATCTCAGAACACTACTTTCTATCTCTATCTATTTAGTATCATCGATGCCATGGTCCAGTAATGCCTCAACTCACCAACATTAATCAAACACCGAAAAATGGACCGTGTCAGCAGTCTTTAGAAAAGTTTGTTTGTAAATTTGAAGAGCCTTGACGTCCTGCAGGAAATTTGAGTCAACATTGATCACCTTCGTTAGAGAGTACTTAAAACAAGGAGAACAAGAAGATCTATTCCCTTATACTAAGGAAATAAGGAGTGTTTTCCTTAAAATCACTTTTGTCAAGGCAAATAATGCAGTCAAAGATACTATTATTTCTAGACGTAGACAAAGAACAACTAAAGTATGCCAAGGTGAAAAAAGGATGTCCATGAGTTCAAGGCGCCCTATGAAAATCACGAAAAAGCGATAAAAAAACGCGTCCGAAAACAAGCGACGCCGACAGTAGCGAGCAGGGACTGATGTGGTCAATGATTTGAGGGGATGAATGAGCGCGCATGTAGTAGCCAACCAAGTCCTGTCAAATATTATGGCGTCAGAGCGTAGGCTCGTGACCAGCCTGGCCTAATACTACCACGGTTGCACGAGTGGTGTAGCCAGGCTGGTCGATCTCGGAGTGGCGTGGCAGGGCGGAGCGAGGAGTTTGAAATTTGATAGGTGCCGGTCGTGCCGGAGGTAGTTACGATCATATAGCACAAGTTATGCGTCTGCTCTCGCTCAGACTGTACTACGCTATGTTAAGTTTCAACCATGAGTTCTGTACGACCTTTATCGCTCACTGCTCGAGATACAATTGAGAATCTCCCAACGGACTTTACGAGGTCCCTCTCAACGACACAACACCAGCAAATTCTCGAGGCTTTCTCGCGACTCGATCTTCTTTCCCAAGATCACAACGTCCGATTCGCGAAATTGTTCCAGCTCAGATGCCTCATATCATTACTTTCTGCGAAACACGTTGTACTTCGAGCTGCGACAGGCTCTGGAAAGACCCTTGCTACGATTCTCCCTCTACTCCTTTCTCCCAACAAGACAGCTATCACTGTCAGTCACCTTTGAACTTATTGCTGCAGCGAGATCATGTAGTACGCTAAAGATACAACATTTTCACTTACTCAAGGCATTAAATTTGTCCTTGTAAATAATGGGTTCAGGAGTTTGAGCAGTTTATCCTAATCAATTATTAGTGCTCCAGCATGATGTACTGTTGTATTTGAGAGGATACTGTACTTTTCACGGTACGAATGAAGGAGTTTGCGGTAATGTTACCCCAAAGCGGCATACCGGCATCTGCCAAATTTCAAACTCCTCGCTTCGCCTGCCAAATCACTCCGAGTTCGACCAGTCTGACTACGTCAATAAATTCTCACCATCTCAAATTGACGCATAGTCAGACTGGTTACGAGTCTAGTCAGAGTGAGCAAATTAAGATAATGAAAATAAAATACAGATGTGGATACGGGGAACGTGGGTTCACAGGGACCTGACTTTCATCGTCGGGAATAGTGTCTTCGTCTTGGTCCTTATGGCGCGAACACTTCATGTATAGTTGAGATTGCTCAAACAATCTCCTTCACACGGTCGAAGGCAGTTCCTCGATCCATTCCATGTATGCGAGCGTGTCAGTCTCCCAATTGCCTGCAGAAAAAGCAGTACCGGTATTGCTCATTTTGTTGGTTGCTTGATTGAGTGTTAACGCGAGTCTATGTTTCCCATGCTCTGAATTATCCTCCACAATGAGGTCATCACGAGCTAAAATAAATGCATGTTCAGCCTGCAAATACTAGTCAGTAAAATTTACAAAGGGAGTAGCAAACTCACAGCAGCAGTGTGGTCAGCGCTAGTGCTGTTTGATATGTAGGTAAGCCAAAGTTGAGCAAGTCCACTGTCTGGCGTCCATGGATGGCATCAAGGTGAGTAGCAAATATACGCAAGATGAACTCGGATAAGAAAGCTCCAGGTGAATCTTCACTGTCTGGGTCTTTGTAAACAAAGTGGAAGTCTTCAAGTTGATATTCTGAGTAAGCTTTTCGTGCCTCCTGCGTCTCGTATTCATTGGTCGAGGCAAAAAATGCCATCAAAATGGTGATAGCAGTGGAACCAAAATTTCCCCGCCACTCGGAGATCCTTTGATACACCTGCACGTATAGTCAAGTCAACTACTAACACAGAACATAATTTCACTCACCACATTGAAGGCACCATTACAGCCATCAACCTCAAAGTCTCCCGGTTGCTTGTACACTGAGTAGTTGATATCATAGAGAACATTTGAGAGTGTATCGTCAGAAATAATCCATGGAAAGTGGCTGTTTCCAACCCAATACATGACTGTTGGGATGAATTTCAAACACCATTGCGAGTTCTGTGCACCACTGGGTAAGTGCACATTTTTCGGTTTCTCTTTCTTGAGGTTGCATACCCGTGGTGCTCGTCCAGTTTCGGTTTTGATAAACTTGTTTCGATTGTCTGTCTCCACGACACTGACCGACATCTGCAGGAATGTGTCAGCGTTCTTGTGCATACATCCGTCAACTCTACCCTACGGAAGTTGTGAGCCGACTGGTCGTCGTTTCGCGGCCCTATTGAATCCCGGAATTGTAGTAAGTGATTCTCAGAAGACCCAATAGGTAGCGTACCTCAACATCGCCCTGCTCATCCATCATAGGAACATCGCCCTCTGCGTCCTGGTATTCAGCATCTTCATCAGCCTCTGGGTCTTCCTGCATTTCGCACTGTTCTTCGGGTCCAGGCTCCTCCACTGAGACAGTCGACAAGGTATGCTTCTTTCCTCTCGGTGCATCATTGATGGCCTCCAAATGTGCACAACGCCCTGCTTTAAATTGAGTATCCTCTGTTTACAAGTGAATTTGCTCACCTTTGCGCTATGACATTTGGTCAGGTTATCATTGAAGTCTAAATCTTCAGGTGCGTCATCATTGTCAAACCCATTCTAGATCTGGACCATCGTTTGCAGCCACTGAAAATGTTGTTAATTGTTTGCTTGAAATATAATTGTACATACCGCTACAGGCACTTGGTGGCACTGAGGGCTTCAGTTGGGACTTTGCAGCCACACTTTTGGTCCATTTCCCTACTCTCGTTCCCTCTGAAGATACGAAGGACTCAGACCTACGATCCAATGAGTGAAAAACGTCAAAATAATAGAGAGTGAGTTCTGATAGAAGTAGCATCATACATATATAGTTCAGATTAGGAACTTACAGCGACTTGCAAATTTTCCCATCATCAGCCTGAGCGCTTCCAACACGTGTCTCACTTAGAGTTGACACACCACTGTTCGACACCTTTTGACACCATCCTTGAAGGTAAGCCTTAAATCTGGATGCTTTCTTCTCTGGATCCTGGTGTTTTGAGTCGCTAAATTGGCCCCAACAGCTGCATCAACAAAAGCCTGAAACATGTATGTCAATATATGCTGCCCGAAGTATATATGTTGAATATCAGGGCTTGTATCAAAATTTAATGCCTTATATGCACCTTATATGTACCTTGTAAGCTGGTTAACAGACTTGTGTACTCATGTAAGCTTCACAAGGCCTTATATGCTTCGGGCTCTTTTGTTGATGTGTATCCAGAGCAGTAAGTGCCCCCAATGCTATGGATTGTGTAAAATCTCCTTACGTGTTTTAGGCCTGGAACTGACGGTCTCTGCTACACTCTCGAGGGTCGGTGCCGGTTTCTTGGTCACTGAGTGTGGCTTTGGCTTTGGTCGGATAAGCCGCCCAGGGCCGGCATGCTGAATCATCTGCTCAACAGCCATCTTGTCTTCCTTTGCCGCAACCTGTTTTTGATGAATCCCATCTCTGTGTGGGTTTTTTGCTGAATTCATGACGGTGCCACTGCCCTTGCCTATGCTGAGGAAGACATTGGAAACATACTAGAGATGCTAGAGTTATATCCTCTCTCCAACACTATCCTCATAAATGCTCCTCACCGAAACAGCTGGTTTCTAGCTGTGGTTCAGCTTTCCATCGATCCAGGGCCTTGGAGGGGATGGTTGTTGTGCTTTTGTTGCCGTATTCCTACGATCCTAACCATGGCTTGGCTAGCCGTTCCTCCCTATCCCAAGTCAATGCCATATGCAGTGTTTCATGCATCCAAGAACTATTTTATTATCAAGAGGGTGAGGGCTTCATCGATATACTCATACCATTTAATAATTGTGTATATCATATATCTACAGTATTAAATTCTATTCGCATAAGCTGATATCATTCATTTAGATACTCCCAGTGGTTTCTTCATCTAGCTTCAATTCACCAGGCTGTACCATCAAATAGCCTGGCCATCTATCTGCGTATGTAGAAGTATTTGCAATGACGAGACCATAACGTCACAGGTGCACTGTGGGATATAAATTCGATAAATTGGCAACATTGACCTTCACCATCGAGGATGCATCGCTCACTGCAGTTGATCTTTGGTAACAACGGGACAAGTCCACTTCACTGTATCTCTGTGCCCTTGGTGCCAAAGTATCTGAAATTTTAAGCAGGGTAAGTGATGATTCACACAACTGGACTTAGTTGTGACCTTAGACTTTCATAACTCCAGCAATGGTTTGCTCAAGCCCAAGTTGCTATCCCATCCAAATACTCGATGAGACCCGGGGCATCGGTGCCAATTTCCAATGAAGGGGCCTGTGCTAGACCGTCGATAAACCACTTCTCGACTTGAGTGTGATAGCGTGCTGCCCAAGCCATCGCAAGTCAGTACGAGTTGTTACTACGAGCTACAAGACGACATACCTCAACGAAGTTTCGGAACAACTCTGAGGTGAAAACACAAGAATGCCCGGCTGTGAATATTCTCGTACTGGGCGCTGAGCTTCTGCTGTTCAATTGCTATTTTTGTTCATGGGGTCTTAGATTGAAGTCTTATGGTTGTGCTGGTTGTGTACTACAGGGGTTTTGGACCTGCCCTCATTTAGTAGCAGGCGTGTTATGTCAGCAAAATCTGTGAATAGAAGAAGTTCGCATACTTTGTACATTGTACAGTACAGATCCACTACATTTGCGAGCACCGATCCAGTAAGAAAAATGATACAGCAGCGTTCCTAGTCAATGTTATGTTCTGCTTCTCTAAAACACGATCAATCCTAATCTTATAGCACCAGAAACCAAAGACCAAGCTCCGCTTCCTCCTGCACTTAGTCCTAATGCAGCACTTGAAGATTTGGGCGTGGATGTGGACGAAGTCAC